TGTACCATTCATCAGTAACGCTTAAACTTTATAATGGAAAAATATTGGGTTGCTGAAAAGATTCGGTTTAATTACATGTTTTATTTAATAAGCGAATGAACTTATTGTGCAAAACAATACTTTACTGGTTACAGGTACACAAATGCCACTTTCTGATATATTTATTAATTCTCGTCAGTGTGTAAATTGTGAGATGATGGTTGTGATTTCCTATTGCTCAAAGAATGAAGACAAATTAATTTTTATTTAAATTAAAAATTAAATTTCTATGTTAAATTAAGAAAAAAACTATGTTTCTTTTTATTTTATTATATTTTTGCTGTTGAATGGAAGTATAAAATATCTTATTAATCAAGATATCTAACTGAGGTCATTTTCGTGTGTTTACTTACAAAATGGGAAATCTTTTTGAGCTATTTCGTCACTTTTAATCCGTAGGACTTAACCATAGAATAAAATATATTCTCAGATAGCAGAGCAAAAGAATTGAAGTTTCTTGAATACAATTCTCTTGATTTCTTCAGACTTTTGATACTTTAGCTCATACTGAATACTTAATGTTACAAGTTATGGAATTTATTATGCCCATTAATTTCGATCCAATTGCATAGACAACAATAGTGAATTTGAGCTGAAGTTTCATGCAGTTCAGATGGATATGAGCCTCTGGCTACATGCCTCATCACCATCGTCAGTTCCTGACTGGTTGTGGTCGAACGAGGAACACCTGGCCAGTTCTCTCCACTGATCCAAGTAGGTACTCTTCATACGCCTAAAGTAGACCTGGTGGATCCCATCTCTTTCTTGATCAGACATCAATCGATGTCACATTGGTTACTTGTTAACCCTCCTCCGCCTTGACTTCAATATAGGAAAACCTCCTCTCAGCGAAGCCGTATCATGACTCCCAGCACACTCAATATACTGTTCGTTGTTCAAACCCATGGGCAGATTTCGCCTGAAGATGGTGAGAACTCGCTGTAGTTAATGTCTCTCGACGGAACTCCTCACTGCTGAGAACCTCAGAATTACTGCACTTGAGTCTGTCTATATACTTTTGTGCCAGGGGTGATAAAGTAAAAAAAAAAATTTTCTGATGGGCGTAAGAGTAAGCAAATCATCGTCAAATAAATCTATTACTATTGTTAATATCTTTATAACTGTTCCATTGATAAACAATAGAAAGAAATAGATGTGAAAAATACATGCATAATAGTAATTACGAAATGGAATTTCGAATCGAACCCTTTATTTCGTCCACCGGGTTAGATTGTTCTAGTTCCACGTGCCATGCCTCTTCCGAATGTCCTCGTGGACACATGGCCCAGTGGATAAAGACGTTGGTTAGATTCAGTGTCTAGAAAGAGTTGTAAGTTCAATACGTTGTGGATATGACAATGAAGAATAGGATAACAGTTCAAATAATGTAAATAATGCAAGTAATCATAATACCTCATCTTAGAGATATAGACAGATATAATAGTAATTATTATTATAATAATAATCACCAAATATATACGACAGCTATTGTTGTTCCTATTAAATCAATTGTTTAATTGTTAAATAATAAAAATCCACAGCCTATGCAGAACAAACAGTAAAAACTAAATTATATTCCAAAATAAACAATAGGATTTCAAACGCCTCTTGTATAAATTTGAAAATATGTCTTCTTCCTAAAAATGTTCAAATATTTAAAGCGGAATAAATCGTACAAAATATATGTTCTCAAATACAATGTAGTAAATAATTTTAATAAAATAAGCTCGAATATTATAGTCTTTTTTTTATTTAATGACACATGAGGAATACCAATTAACTTGCAGAATAGACAAATAGTGAACACCATGAGAAAATAAAATATTTAATTTAAGAAACTAGAGATTTTGAAGCCCGCCGAGGTGTGTTGGAATCCTCACAATATTTCGTATTGTTGAAGTTATCGCTAACATTTTTGTCAAGATTTAAAAACTCGGCATTTCGTTATATTTCGTAAACTCGTCGATGGAATTTGAATAAGTTGATTTGTCTAGTAAAATACTTTGACAAGAGCTCTACTTCATGGTTTAATAGTTTTTTTAATTTAATTCTATAGGGTTTCATGGTAAACAATATTTTTAAGAAAATTTCTATTTTTTTTCCTTTTTAAAGGGGAAGAATAAATTCTTAGTATTACTTACTCTTGAGCACGCAATATACAACTGGCCATGCGTAAATATTTCTTTCTAGAGACAAATCTAACTTTTTGAAACGTTTTTCTTTGTGTTTATTAGAAGATTATATATATATATATATATATATATATATATATATATATATATATATATATATATATATATATATATAAGTCCAGAGTAGATAACATTAGAAAGATTTTAGAGTTCCATGAAAATAAGTGGATCCATCTGGGCTTAACTATAAATTTAACAATATAGATAGTATTAATATATAACCCTACAAATCAAAACCTACCCACATTTCTCACCCACTCAAGACAGACATGCTTACGGAGGTGTTGAAACCTCACAATTATACACACACCCACACGAATATACACACTTACACACATCATACTCACTCACTCCCTAAGAACCAAATAACACACGCACACACACACACATACACACACACACTTAACAGAGACACACACCCTTTCCAGGAACCAATAAAACTGTCAAAATGACTAAAACAAAGTCTGACCAAAATTCGCGTTAAAAAAATAAAAAAACAAATGAAAACTACTACATTTTCTTCATCAAGGCATTAATTTCTGTAGATCACTGCTACCAGCAAGGAGAAAATTATTTTTCTCCTGATGATGACCATTTTGGCTGAAACTAGTCGAGGAAACTAAATCAAATAATAATAAAAACGAAGGAACATTTATATGCAACCCAGCTTAAATGCTATGCATAAATAATTTTGCATTTTTATGAAATAAGTACTTATTTCAATCATTAAATTGTTTTGAAAATTGTAAGAGTATTTACTATATTAAATAATAAACCTTTTAATTTTTCAAAAAATATAATGAAAATTTATTGTACTAATCTACGCAGCCAAGTAAAATCAACTGTACTTTGTACCCCCTTACCTATTTGCAGTCCCCCTCCCCCAGAAAAAAAATTTTGATTCAATCGGTCATTGTATGGCCAGTGTAGATGTTGTGACGAACGGACTAAAGGATGAAAATACATCCATTCACTTTGACTGTCAACGTTGTGGCTGCACCTACCCATTCATCTATGAACCGAAATTAAACAGTTGTATTGTTTAGTGGTGCAATTTTGCATCCAGAACATCTTGGATTAAGTTAACCTCCGGAAATCCCTGGGACATACTATAAAAAAAAACAGTCTTCGGTTTGTTATTAATTACAATACGTTCTGTAAATCACTTTATTCAATGATGGCAAGTAATATTGCTAGAATTAAATATTTCGTATCGTAGAACAGGTCAAATGTATTTACGTGTTATAAATATATTTAAATGGAATGGGATTAATTGGCAAAATTAGATTAACGATTTTCTAAGCTAAATTTTCGTATGTATATTAATATTAACTATTATTATGTATATTATTATTATTATTTAAATAGCATATATATATATATATTGTAATAATTACCATCACTTGACAAGACACCAGAAGTGTTGAAACAAAATGGGTATTTTTGTAGTGATGTTATAATATGTTATTTCTGTTATATTTTTTTTAATAATTATTTGTTCTAGTTTCTATTGAGCACTGTTTTTTATAGTGTTTTTGGTTAATTTTTATTCCATCTGTACTTATATATATATATATATATATATATATATATATATATATATATATATATATATATATATATATATATATATAATGTATGTATTGTATGTGAGCATAGCATGTATTGGATATTGTGTTTATTGAATCAGTTTGCCATCAGAGTATATATATTTGATTTTGTACATAAAGTTTATGTATATTGGATATTATTATTATTATCGCAATTTAACATTAACATTTTCTTGAATGTTTAATGTCAAATTTACTTCTTTTTATATATGAAACTTTTATTTATGACACAGATTTTGTCATTTTTTGGGATAAGAGACTGGGAATTTTGTCTTCTTATCCCATAACTTAAGGTCTTAGCAAAAAAGAAAGAAAATATAAGGTGATTGCTAAAGAAAGAACGATAAAAATAGAAAACGAAACCGAAGGGGTTTTAGTAAACAAAATCGTAGTTTGAATCGCTCAGAGGAGTTGCTTGCTCGCTCCTCTACAATAGCCAGTATTCATTGATAGATGTATTAATAGATTGGTAGATACATAGCTATCCAACAAAGAAAACCACAAAAAGAAAAGTATAGATAGGTTAGTGGAATTATGTGTAAGTTGATACTAATCAGTAGACAAGTAGATACCTTTTTATACAAGCTATATTTTATTTTTTATACACATTTTATTTTTTCTCTTCTGCTTTGATTTCCATGAAAGACAACTTTTCCGGGTGAATTTTGATATTTTGCCCAGGTTTTATTCAGCGATGAATCGCCGTTCTGTATAAAAAGGAACGATGGCACAGAGCCAAACTGGAAGCTTGAAAGTGAAAGTAGACACACAAAAAAGGTGAACCTCTAGTTCTGCTGGGGTCTGCGACTCACAGCACCTTCTTTTAAGAGTTTGATATCGCACAAGTTATTTTCTTCTTCCTGTCTTTTCCTTGCTATACCGGATTCGATATGGCTGGTGAATATTATTAGTAGCATTATTATTATTATTGTATTTTTTTTTCTTATCTTTGTATAGATGCTTGAATATATTTCTGGGTTTTCTTCTCTTCCCCCTTACTTGATTTGAATGTAGTCCAGCCTTTGCCCAACGTTGGTTAGTTCTCTTTACTCTTTTAAGCACAAGTCATCCCGTCCCTTCCTGCCACCTTGACTTGATCGAAAATTACGCGGAGCCATTTGAAATTAGAAGATCGAAATAGATTGTGCTATTCAGTCAGTTATAGTTTATATAGCAAATTGGTGGTGGATGGTGGGAGTAGCAGGGGGATGCGGGAATGGAATAAAGGAGGGGACTGAGATAGATACGAAGAGATTTGTAGCGACAACAAGAAAATTAGAAGGAATGAATTGGAAAAGATGAAGATAGAGAAAAGAAAAATGAACCAACAGAAAAGAAAATCAAAAGAAAAGAATAACGGATGAAAACCTGAAATGTAAATGAAAAAGAGAGAAAAAGAAAAAAATAAGTAAAAAGAGGGTTAAAACGCAAAATGAGAGGTGGGGAATGAGAAAAAATGCTAAAATAAGAACCCAAAGAAAGAAGGAAAAAGAAAGAAAATTGATAACCATAATAATAATAATAACAGTCATCGAAGAAGTGTGATAAAATTAATAAAACTAAAAAATAAGATGAAAAATCAACGAGTCAAAGAGCAAGAAAGAAACAAAGAAGATAAAGTGAAAAAAGAAACGGGAGAATTGAAAGATGTAAAAAAAAAAATAGAAAATAACAAATGACAAAGAAAGACATGAAGAATAACAATGAGAAAAGTAAAAAGAATATAGCAATGAGAAGAGGAACCGAAGAACAAGTAGAAAAGCATGAAGAAAAAAATGAGGACAAGAAGAAAACGAACAAGAAAGAGAAGCAAACGTGTAGTAAGAAGAAGGAACAAGAAAATTCAGAAATAACATCATGCGAAAATAATGGCCATAATAATAATAATAATGACGAAAGAAGAAATTAACGAAATAGATCAAAAGATGGAGGAGAGGGTAGAAGAGAAAAACCTTCGAAGAAAATAAGGAAAGATAAAAATTTAATGAAGATAAGGAAAGTTGTTGAATGGCATGTAGGACAAAAACAAAGAGAATGACAAGAGGAAATATGAAGGACAAAACGAGCGACAACATCGAATGGTGATGCGTTGATTAAAATGAAGAAGACTAAAACTAAAAAGGAGAAGGAAAATAATGGAAATGTAGAAATAAATTGAAGTTGTGGGGGCGGAAAGGAAAAAAAATGCTAGATGGCAAGAGAAGAAGAAAAAATATGAAGTAGAGAAGGAATAAATAAAGAAAAAGAATAAATGTAAAAAGAAGATAACAAAAAGAAAAACAATGTGAGATGAACAGACTAATGTGAATCGTAAATGTAGAAAAAGATCGAAAGAAAAGTGTAGGGTAAAAGAAGCCATACAAAAGGCATCGAAGAAAGAAAGTTTTGAGGAAAGAAGAAGAATGGGGCAAGAAGAGATTTACTGAATGAAAATGAAGAAAGGAAATATTTACTGAAAGAGAAATGAATGAATGAAGGAAGGAAAGATTTACTGAAAGAGAAATGAGTGAAGGAAGAAAAGATTTACTGAAAGAGAAATAAATGAAGAAGGAAAAATTTACTGAAACGAAAATGAGTGAAGGAAGCAACGATTTACTGAAAGAGAAATGAGTGAATGAAAGAAGGAAAGATTTACTGAAAGAGAAATGAGTGAATGAAAGAAGGAAAGATTTACTGAAAGAGAAATGAATGAATGAAGGAAAGAAAGATTTACTGAAAGAGAAATGAGTGAAGAAGGAAGAAAAGATTTACTGAAAGAGAAATAAAAAGAATGAAAAATTTACTGAAACGAAAATGAGTGAAGGAAGATTTAATGAAAGAGAAATGAGTTAATGAAAGATGGAAAAATTTACTGAAAGAGAAATGAGTGAAAGAAGAAAAGATTTACTGAAGAGAAATAAATGAAGGAAAAATTTACTGAAATGAAAATGATTGAAGGAAGCAAAGATTTACTGAAAGAGAAATGAGTTAATGAAAGATGGAAAGATTTACTGAAAGAGAAATGAAATGAAAGAAGGAAAGATTTACTGAAAGAGAAATGAATGAATGAAGGAAAGAAAGAAATGCAGATGGGAAAAAAGATTTACTGAAAGAGAAATTTAAAAAAATTTAAAACGAAAATGAATGAATTTACTGAAAGAGATTAAAAGATTAAAGATTTACTGAAAGAGAAATGAGTAAAATTTACTTAAAGTGAAAAGAGTGAAATTTACTGAAAAAAATGAATGAATGAACGATTTTGAAAGAGTTTAAAATGAAGGAATGAAAAATTTAAAATTTGGAAGGAAAGATTTACTGGAAGAAAATGAGTGAAAAGAAAAGATTTACTGAAAGAGAAATAAATGAAGAAGGAAAAATTTACTGAAACGAAAATGTGGAAGGAAGAACGATTTACTGAAAGAGAAATGAAGAAAAAGATGGAAAATTTACAGAAAAGAAAATGAAGGAAAAATTTAAATAAGAGAAATAAATGAAGGAAAAATTTACTGAAACGAAAATGAGTGAAGGAAGCAACGATTTACTGAAAGAGAAATGAGTGAATGAAAGAAGGAAAGATTTACTGAAAGAGAAATGAGTGAAGGAATAAAAATTTACTTAAAGTGAAAAGAGTGAAAGAAAAGATTTAATGAAAGAGAAATAAATGAAGAAGGAAAGATTTACTGAAAGAGAAATGAATGAATGAAGAAAGGAAAGATTTAATGAAAGAGAAAAATGAAGGAATGAAAAATTTACTGAAAGAGAAATGAGTGAAGGAAGGAAAGATTTACGGAAAGAGAAATGAATGAAGGAAGGAAAGATTTATTGAAAGAATGAAATGTAGATGGAAAATAGGCAATTTTTAAATGTTAAAAATATAATGAATACATTAAAGAATATGAAGAGATGGTAACAGTGTGAGATATGTGATCGAAAATTGGTGCTAACGATCTTGGAGTTTAAGAAGATTTAAAATTTGTCAGGGAAAATATGAAAATTGAATAAGGAGGAATTTAAAGTAAAATGTGGAAGTCGAACAAGTCAGAGATTGAAGAAACAATAAGAAATGGAAGACTAAAAATAAATATCTTCGTATTATTTTGTAATGTCAAGGAATTAAGGAGGATAAGAATAAAGAAGAAGAAGAAAAAGAAGAAGAAGAAGAAGAAGAAAATGCAGAAGAGGAAGAAGAAGAAAATGTAGAAGAGGAAGAAGAAGAAAATGAAGAAGAAGAAGAAAATGTAGAAGAAGAAGAAGAAGAAGAAAATGTAGAAGAGGAAGAAGAAGAAAATGAAGAAGAAGAAGAAGAAAATGTAGAAGAGGAAGAAGAAGAAAATGAAGAAGAAGAAAAATGTAGAAGAGGAAGAAGAAGAAAATGAAGAAGAAGAAGAAGAAGAAAATGTAGAAGAAGAAGAAGAGGAAGAAGAAGAAGAAGAGGAAGAAGAAGAAGAAGAGGAAGAAGAAGAAAATGAAGAAGAAGAAAATGTAGAAGAGGAAGAAGAAGAAAATGAAGAAGAAGAAGAAGAAAAGAAGAAGAAAATGTAGAAGAAGAAGAAGAAGAAGAAGAAGAAGAAGAAGAAGAGGAAGAAGAAGAAGAAGAGGAAGAAGAAGAAAATGAAGAAGAAGAAGAAGAAAATGTAGAAGAGGAAGAAGAAGAAAATGAAGAAGAAGAAGAAGAAGAAGAAGAAATGAAGAAGAAGAAAATGAAGAAGAAGAAGAAGAAGAGGAAGAAGAAGAAAATGAAGAAGAAGAAGAAAATGTAGAAGAGGAAGAAGAAGAAAATGAAGAAGATGATGCTGAAGAAGAAAGCTGAAATAAAAGAAAAAAGAATAAACAATAACATGTGTGTATCATGGAACGAAAGATTATAGTTTTGCTGAAAGAAATAAGAATGTCCATAATATATGAATAAGGAAAAGATAGAATGAAAGAGTAAGAGTTGTGCATAGAGGAAAATAGAAATGAAAAATTTGAAATGTATGAAACAAACAAAAAACAACAAAAAACTGGAAAGGATTGAAAAGAAAAATCGATTCAAGATTAGGAAAAAAGGAAAGATAAGGAATAAAAATGAGAAAGTAAAAGTGATGAAAGGTAAAGAGCAATAAAGAAAGAAAGAGAAGAGAAACTATGTATAAAACAAAGAAAGAGATAAAAAATGACTTTTGAAATGAAGCAAAAGAAAATAGTGTAACAGTGAAAGTTATGTAAAAGAAAATTATTCAGATAACGGAGAGAAATAAGAACTAAATTTTCAAATAAAGTTGCAAAAGAAAAAAGAAAAGAAAAACGTTAAATATAGAGAATGCAAGAAACAACAATGAAAGAAAAATTTTCAGAGAGGCATAGAATGAAAGGAACATCATTTACTTAAAGAAAAGTGAGTGAAAGAGAATATTAAAGGAGACATCGAAATTCAAGGCAAAGCGAGTAATAAACGCGGTTTCAGGTTGTGAGGATTTTTGCCACTTTATCCTTTGTACGCCAACAAAGATGACGGTGGAGGCTTAATGAAAAAAGCGGCCCCAATCCTCCTGTTTAGCACGAACTTCTAAAGACTTCAGCCATGTTTTCAAAAGGCCGCTTTCTAGTTTCCTCTTCGGCAGTCTTATTCTTATGATCTTCTTTTATTCGCTTCTCTTGGCTTTTTCTCCCTACTTCAAATTTCCCTTTTGGCATTTTCGTATTATACATACACACACAGACACCCCCCCACATCATCTATTTATATATATATCTATATATATATATATATATATATATATATATATATATATATATATATATATATATATATATATATATATATATATATATATATATATATATATATATATATATATATATATATATATATATATATATATATATATATATATATATATATATATATATATATATATTCATAGATAGATAGATATATATATATATATATAGATAGATAGATAGATATACATATATATATATATATATATATATATATATGCATATGATTGTATTATTGGTTATATATATATATATATATATATATATATATATATATATATATATATATATATATATATATATATATATAATATAAACAAGTTTCATTAAATTCAACCAATAGGATTTGTTTAATTGATTTTATTGAATTTTTCTAATAAGAAAATATTTGAAGAATGAATTTATGTCCGAAGAATATGACTTTGTTGTTTCCTTTCGTGGCCTTACAATCCGTATGACGCCATTTGTACACATGGCACAGTGGATAAAGGCGTTGGTTAGATCCAGTGACTGACCCAAAGAATGTGAGTTCAATACCCGGTTAAGGCAGTGGAGAACTTTCAGAGGGAAAATTAGCAGGAGATAACTGATAACTGACATCCATCAAACATGGCACGTGGAACTAAAACAGTCTACCCCAGTGATCGAAATAAAGGGTTCAGTTCGAAATTCCAACCACCTGAAGAAGGCCGGAGCGTACTACGGCCGAAACGTTGTGACAAATATGGCGACAAAGATGAGGACAATAGTCCGACTAATGTAAATACTGTACATAATGCCTCATCTCAGAAATATATATATATATATATATATGTTCCTCATTTGTAACACAAGAATTTTCATGCAAAATGCAATATTTAGGTGCTGAATATAGACTAATTCTTACGTAATTTAAATTTTAATAAAAAAATATCTGCTTAACGCAATGTTGGTGTAATTTTATATTTAAAATAAACAATATAAATTATTTTTAAAAAAATTATTCAGATAAACAGACTAAATTTTCAAACAAAAAAACATTAATCACCGTTTATTATAAATATGAAATATAAATCTCGTCTATTTGGAATGCAAATTTAAAAAAAACAGTAATTCCCATATTATATATGAACTACGCCAGCATTACTTTAGCTAGATGTTTTTTTATCAAAATTTAAATTATGTAACGGTCAGTTACTACTCAGCACCTGAAGACTACGTTGCGAATCTAACTCAGAGTCGTGAAAACGGTGAGGAAAAATGTATATTTATTAATATATTTTTAATAGCTCTGTTATTGTTGAAGAGTAGTTTTCACAGTGGAGGCTTGTATTTCACTAAGTCGGTCCTAAAA